CCACTGCAGGCCCTGGTGTCGCCACGCCCAGGTGAGGAGGCCCGGGGACCTCGTGCGTCCCAGAAAGCTGGTGAGAAGCTGTGGGCTGCCTGCAGGTGGAGGAGACTTTCCTGACTGCAGTCGTCAGCTACAGAGAGATTTGGACACACCTCTTGCCCCCAGGTCCCTGGCTCGGGCACTCGAAGGTCCTCCCGCAGTGGAGGATCCCAGAATGCTGTCTTCACCAGCGAGAAGGAGGAGCTGTGAGTTAGGACGACTCACCTACTCACTCGGTGATGAGCAAGCCCAAAGCAGGATCCGGGAGCTGAGGGAGGAAGGAGCTTGGCCGCCTGGCCTGGGGAGGCTCAGGGGTACGGAGGGGGAGGGGGCGCTTTTATCCAGCAGAAAATCTCCCTGGTCCTGAGGGGGTTTAAAGGCCAGCCCTTACCTTCCCATGTGGTGGAGATGGGTGAGTGGCCATGGGGAGAGAGCCCTGACAGGAGGAGACCAGCGGAGGGGTGGCAGGGCCCGCAGCACCTGGCTACCCCAGCTTCCCTGCTTAGCTCCAGGATAAGCCAGAAGGTGGGCGAGATTCCCTCTTCTCTCTCTCCATCTTGAGGCCACGCTGGAGAGGCCAGCAGGGTCTGACAGGCCCAGCCTCATCCTCGCTGGGATGAAGGCGGCTGCTAGGGAGAGCAGCGGGCTCTGACTCCCACCTGCTTCTCAAGCAGCAGCACAAATCCCAGCAAGAATTCCACCCTGGAGGGACGCACTAAAGAAACCAAAGGACCAAACCCGTGGCCATCAACTGGACTCACAGCAGTGCTACAGGGCTACACCGTGGAACTGTCCCCAACGGCTTCACAAAGCTGGGATCCTTAAGGAAACGGATAGCCACATCTCTTTCCTGCTGGTGGGTTTGAACCACTGACCATTGGGTTAACAGCGGCATGCTTAACCACTGTGCACCCAATTGCCATGGTGTTGGCTGCCAAGGGGTGACAGGTTCTAGTTTACTCCCTGCCCGGTCTTTCTGGGGCACTTGAGAACCCTGGCGTCCAGACCCATAATCAGTGTGGCATGAGACCAAAGATACAAGTGCTTCCTGGCTTCTGAACTGCTTCCCCCTGAGCCCCTGGCACAGATGCTCAGAGCAGCACTGAGAGCCTTGCCTTGCCTTAAGAAAAAAACTATGTAAGCAAGAGGAGAGGCTGAGCCAAGAAATGACAAGTCAGTTGTAAAAAGCATACACACACTTTACAGTTGTAAAATGGCTTTATGTTCTGATATGTAAGATAAAACATCCATGCTATACAACAAAACACTTGAAGTTCCATATCACCTGTTAGCTAATGTGTCTTCTAATAAAGCTTTATCCGTCGTGTGGGTGTGTGTGCACATGCACATGCACACACCCACACATCGCATATATACATGTGCGTATATATGTATACAGTATTTCTATATGCTTTATCTACCCATTCTTAGTTTTAAACATCAGCGTGTGTCATAAAAACTTAAATAGATGTGTTTCCAAGTACCTCTGCAATGTTCATTTTTATTAAGTTCGTTCATCTGCAAGAAGCAAAGCTGAATTTGACATGTGGCCTGCATTTGTGATATATATATATATTTATTTGTATAATAATATATAAATAGCTATTCTGCATGCAAAGAGTTTAGTGATTTTCCAATTTTATTTTCCATTCTAGCGTTCACACCAGCCGCACAGATGGTCTGGTTCTGTTCAATGCTAGAGGTCTGGGCTGAGGGCCTCCGATCCGCACCACTGGGAGGAGAATGACCTGCTCCATGGGGCTCACTGGCTGAGTTTCCTGGCCGAAGTGAGCATGCTTTCAATTCCCTGTTTTGAGGCCTGTTGGGGTTTCTTGCTCCATGGGTGTCGCTTTTCTGGAGATCCCTGGAAGCAGTTCCCAGGGATTCTCCTGGGGC